TTACATTAATTTACATTCCATATGTTGCTGCCATTTTTATGGGTGCAATAGTTAATGAATAACACAGCATATAATTATTTTAAAGTGGTATAAATGGCTAGAATATAAATTAAGGCTGTTCCAGCATGTGAGTATTAGCCTGAACTAGGGTGACTAGATAGCAAGTGTGAAAAATCAGCAGGGTATAGTTGCCTATATAAGACAAAGTCCTTAATATCAGGATGGTCCTGATAATATCAGGCCATCTGGTCATCCTAGACCGACCCCCTCCTCCCCCCACACAACGTTTTCCTGCAAATATTTTCAAGAGTTTTAAATATTGTCATTAGTGGTCAGACAGTATGTGCTTGAGGTTGGACAAAAACAGATCTTAGAAATTACAAAAGATTTGCAAAGTTATTGGAAAAAAAGTGCTGTCATCTTGACACAGTTTCTTTAAAATTGGGCTCCTCTTTACAACTGGAAAATGTTCTATTAGGATTTTAAAGGGTGAGAGAACACGGGGCGGGGGGAATTAGTGAAAGAAAAGCTCACACTGATTTTGAATGCCAGCACAAAGTGTAAGCGGTAGCCTCTCTAACAATTCAGCCATCACATAGTAACATATCTTAGAACATACGAATGGCCATACCGGGTCAGACCAAAGGTCCATCAAGCCTGGTATCCTGTCCTCTGACAGTGGCCAATGGCAAGTGCCCCAAAGGGAATGAACAGACAGGTTATCATCGAGTGATCCATGCCCTGTCACCCAATCCCAGCTTCTGGCAAACAGAGGCTAGGGACACCATTCCTGCTCATCCTGGCTAATAACAATTGATGGACCTATCTTCTATGCTTCTATCTAGCTCCCTTTTGAACCCCGTTATAGTATTGGCTTTCTGGCAAGGAGTTCCAGAGGTTGACAGTGTGTTGCATGAAAAAATACTTTCTTGTGTTTGTTTTAAACCTGCTATGTATTTCATTTGGTGGCCCTTTGTTCTTGTATTATGAGAAGGAGTAAATAACACTTCCTTATTTACTTTCTTTATACCACTCATAATTTTATAGATCTCTATCATATCCCTCCTTAGTCGCCTCTTTTCCAAGCTGAAAAGTCCCAATCTTATTAATCTCTCCTCATACGGAAGCCGTTCCATACCCCTAATCATTTTTGTTGCCCTTTTCTGAACCTTTTCCAATTCCAATATATCTTTTTTGAGATGGGATGACATCTGCACGCAGTATTCAAGGTGTGGGCGTACCTTGGATTTATATAGAGGCAATATTTTTTCTGTCTTATTATCTATCCCTTTCTTATGATTCCCAACATTCTGTTCGCTTTTTGACTGCCGCTGCACATTGAGTGGATGATTTTAGAGAACT